GCGACGGACGACGGCCTCCGGGTGCCACGGCGCGGGGCAGCCGCTGGGGCGCTGCTGCGGGCGCTGGGAGGCCGCGTGCGCCGCGGCGGCCGCGGCCTCGTGGAGGAAAGACTGGTCTACTCTGTAAGAACGGTTCTTTGAAGGCAGATCTGCCTTCAAAAAAACCGTTCTTACAGAGGGGGGGCGCGGGGGGATCCCACGAGAGTCGGAGGACGACGACGCCGAGAACACGAGCGAGAGCAGACAAAATAACTGAAACACCAGCAGCCAAGCGAACCAGTCGTTTCAGAATCTCGAGCGCCGTCCTCCTTGGGGGGGAAACAGTCGTTTTAGAATCTCGGGCGCCGTCTTGCTTGGGGGGTAACGTCTGGTCTCTCTCTCTCTCTCTCTCTCAGGGCGTCCTGGGGGCCTCTCGGGCAGTCTTCATTGAGGCCGCCCCAGTACGCTTTTTTGAGCCGCAGGAGGGCCCCTCGGACCGTAGACGAGGCGACAGGTGAGAGGGCACCTGGGGCCGGCAAGGCGACGGCACGCGCTGGGCTCTTGACCCCGTGCGCCGGCGTGCCTGCCTACGCTGGGCTGGGCGCAGGGAGGGGGCGGGAAGAGGGGGGGCGGAGGGAAGGGAACCGGGGAGGGAGGAGGAACGCCCTGAAGTCTGCGACATCACTCAGTGAGATGGGTGGCGATTTGCGCAAAGTCGGCCCTCCCCTGAGTTGCCAGCCTGGTGGCCAGACCATGAGAGGTTCGGCGGAGCAGTGGTGTCCCTTGGCTTCGCCATTTTAGGGCACTGGAGGCCCGTTTCGGTTCCACGGACCGTTAGAGATCAATTCCGGGATGGGAAACTGGTCGGGACGGACACTGGGCGAGGTCAGGGGATTCATTTGATACGGATCTGGGTGATGAGGCAAAGGTTGTTTTTGAAGTGTTTGTTGTTCTCTTTGGCCCCTTCTGGAACTTCTGGGTGCCTCGGGGGTCGACCTCTGGGGGCATGCGGGGTCTACGCCCTCCGGGACCTCCGGAGAAGGAGGGGGAGGGAGGCGGGGGCGACGGAGCCACGGAGCGAGGGGTGAGGCAGCTGGAGGGGCCTCTTTGGACCTCTGGTAAGGCTGGAAGGGCTGCGCGGTGCCCCCTGACCCAGATGCACGGCCAGGGGGGAGCGGGAGAAGGAGTGGCCGTTGGATCCCCATGGATGTCCACTGGATTTCCACACACCGTTGTCGCCCCATGGTCTCCCACATACACGTGTTCCACACACATGGGTTCCGCACACACACACATAGACTCCCACACGCATTGTGATCCACACGCATGGGATTCCAATGCAAACACGCATGGGGTTCCACACAGATAGGGTTCCGCACAGGGTTCACCACATCGGGTTGCCTGCGCAGTGAGTTCCACATACACACATGGGGTTTCGCACATGTGGGGCTCCACAAACGCTGGATTCCGCACATGTCGAACGAGTGACGCGTTTCGGGTTAACGCGCTGGCAGCATTATCTTGGTCTCTGGTCATACAAGGCCACCACTGCCAAAATCTGTTTTCACCTGCCACTTCTTGGAATGGAGTCCTTCGCAGAGCCTCAACCAAACTACACCTGTCTCTCTGGCGAGACGGTAAAACCCGGCTTTGCAGGTCTACGCGTCCTCCCTCCAGCGATGCATGCGTGGCAGGGTCGACATACACAAACGAAATTGGCAGCGCCACGGCTGGTACTGGTCACCTTGGTCGACGACGGGAAACAAGTTGTGAGCCGTGTGCGTGCTCGCATGGATGGCGTAGAACCTGCCAGAGCACTGCTGATGAGAGCCACTCACCGTTGAGGTCCGTTCCGCACTGTCTGGGGTGCACCAAGTCCCCCCCTACCTGCCTCTCGCAGATACGAGCACGCCGAACATAACTCTATCGCTAAGAAAGAGGTTGCCAAGCGCACCATGCCGACAGGTGCGACCGGCCACGAGTCTTCAATGGCATGCAGGGGGCGCGCACCACATGCTCATTCACACTTGTGCACGCGTACGGTCGGGAGCCCTTGCTTAGCATGACGCAGCGGCGACCCCAGCGACACGCTATGATACCCTGCAAGCGGGTGGCGTGTCGCTCCGCTCCGCGGGGCTGGAGGCCGGGAAACGCTCGGGGCATTAACGCTCGGGGACCAGGAAACGGATAGCGTGTCGCGCCGAAGCGTGGTCGCCATTTAAAAGCTCCCGACCGTAGGTATACAAGGGCACAAAGGAGCACAAATGCCCGCCTACCACAAGCACGGAAGCAACTGTCGCCGGCTGACCCTCGGTGGAGCCAGCGCAACTGAATTAAGCGTAGGCGCCTACTTATGGGCGTCATCGAGATCTAGCTCGTGTGGCCGTGGTGTCTCCTCCTGACGTGCCGCCTCGCGCGGATGACTTGGGCACCCGCTGAGGCGTGCCGCAGAAGAGATTATGTCGCTGCGCGGCCTAGACACTAGATTGCCGCCATGTCCACGCCCGATTCCTCCATCCCTGCCGATTCCTGCCTCTCGTCCGAGCCGCGTCGCAGAGATGAAGGGGCCCTGGGACACACAAATAAATACACACAAATAACAATATTCCCTGTATTTTCCCATATGTTTGGGGCTTCTGTCTTCCCCCCCACTCCCCATATTTTCGCATATTTTCTTGGGGATCGTCGATTAATTGTGTCTGTGTGTTTCTTTCCCTCCTGAAGAGAAGATAGCGCGGCTGCGTGGCCTGGCTAATATGCCCATCTTCTCGTCATGCCCATGCCCAAATCCCTCCCTCCCCGCCTTCCGCGGGGGGCCTCGCTCCCCCCTCCTCCTCCTCCTCCTCCTCCTCCTCCTCCTCCTCCTCCTCCTCCTCCTCCTCCTCCTCCTCCTCTCCTCCTCCTCCTCCTCCCTTCCCTCCTCCTCCTCCTCCCTCCTCCTCCTCCTCCTCCTCCTCCTCCTCCTCCTACTCTTCCTCCTCTGCAGAGAAGATAATGCCACCGCGCGGCCCGGTTGCTCGGGCCAACGTGCCGCCGTGCACACGTCCGCTCGCTCCCTCCTGGCCGTCTCCTGACCGCTCGCTCCCTCCTGCTCCTCCTCCTTCTCCTCCTCCTCCTCCTCCTCTTCCTTCTCCTCCTCCTCCTCCTCCTCCTCCTACTCCTCCTACTCCTACTCCTCCTACTCGGCCTTCTCCTCCTCCTCCTCCTCCTCCTCCTCCTCCTCCTCCTCCTCCTCCTCCTCCTGACATGTCCTCCATCGCTCGGAAGTGGCCGGGGGGTGGTCCTGGTCCTGGGTGTCCCTGGCCTTCCGCGCCGAGTTTGGGACCCCCCCTGGGGCCCTCTTCTGGGCCTCCTGGGGGGTGCTCTGGAGGCCGTCGGGGTCCCCTGGAAAAGTGGGGGCCACCCTTGGGCGTTGCGCCAGGGGGGGGGGGGGGGCCGATCCACGGTGGAGCGACGAAGCGCTTACCTTCCGTGCACCCGCTGGGCCCCCTGGGGGGCCCCGACTGCGCACGAGAGGCGCACGAGTCTTCACCACCCGTGGATCGCTCCCCCCCTGCGCAGCGCCCGACGCCCTCGGCCAGGGCCAGGGCCCCCCGGCCCGCTGCCCTGCTCCTTGTCCTCCTCCTCCTCCTCCTCCTCCTCCTCCTCCTCCTCCTCCTCCTCCTCCTCCTCCTCTCCTCCTCCTCCTCCTCCTCCTCCTCCTCCTCCTCCTCCTCCTCCTCCTCCCTCCTCCTCCTCCTCCTCCTCTCCTCCTCCTCCTCTCCTCCTCCTCCTCCTCTCCTCCTCCTCCCCCTCCTCCCTCCTCCTCCTCCTCCTCCTCCTCCTCCTCCCTCCTCCTCCCCTCCTCCTCCTCCTCCTCCTCCTCCTCCTCCTCCTCCCTCCTCCTCCTCCTCCTCCTCCTCCTCCTCCTCCTCCTCCTCCTCCCTCCTCCTCCCTCCTCCCCTCCTCCTCCTCCCTCCTCCTCCTCTCTCCTCCTCCTCCTCCTCCTCCTCCTCCTCCCTCCTCCTCCTCCTCCCTCCTCCTCCTCCTCGGCCTCCCCCCCCCCCGGTTTTGTGGCTTTTAGTGGGGGTTATTGGGTTACGGAGGAGGATTGGGTGAGGGGTTGCATGTAGCATCGCATATCACACATTGCATAGCACCGCGTCGCATAGCATAACATCACATAACATTGCTCCTCATACCATATAGTTGCATGTCATGACATACCATATCACAACGCAGCATCTCAAAACATTGCATAGCGCGGCATACTTAACATATCATAGTATTGCATCGCATAGTATAGCATAGCGCAGCACAGCATCGTATCGCATACGACAACCTATCATAGCACTGCACAACATAACATTGCATAGCATAGCACGGAGCACTCCCACGCCACGGGACACCACAGGACACCACGAGACAACGCGGGACATTGCGACAAGGGGCACCAAGGAGCACCATCGGGACACCACAGGGCCGCCTCTGGCTTGTCGTTTTGGCAACGGCAGGTTCATGTTTTTCGCCCGCCCTGCGCAGCCTCGTTTCGCCCGCTCGCGCGACACGAACACGAACATTTGTCAGTGGGGGTGTCCGTGTCACTGCGATACACATGTTTGCATCCATACGTTTATGTATGTGTGTACGACATGCATTACCAATCAAATTACATGCTATGTGTACAGACATGTTAATATGTGTGTCGACGTGTCGTGCACATGATGCATGGGGTTCGCATTCAGAATACATAATACGCAGACGTGCGTTGTGCATGATCACCCGCATACATTGCATGAGTGCGTGTGAACGATTTGCACGCGTGACATGTGTAGTGTATACGCACATCATTCGTATACCATACACATGGGGTGCACATACATACGTACATCGAGTATGTCTGACACAAACGACACACGTAATGTGTATACATGTGTATGTGTGTACGCGTTGTGCGACGAACGCACGCATGAGTCATGTATGTACATTGTGTTTGTCTGTACGCATGTCATACGTATGTATGCGTAACGGGATGAAGCTGG